GTTGTAGTTGTTGGTGTTGTTGTAGTTGTCGGTGTTGTTGTAGTTGTCGGTGTTGTTGTAGTTGTTGGTGTTGTTGTAGTTGTTGGTATTGTTGTAGTTGTTGGTGTTGTTGTAGTTGTTGGTGTTGTTGTAGCTGTTGGTGTTGTAGTCGGTGTTGGTGTTGTTGTAGTTGTTGGTGTTGTTGTAGTTGTCGGTGTTGTTGTAGTTGTTGGTGTTGTTGTAGCTGTTGGTGTTGTAGTCGGTGTTGGTGTTGTTGTAGTTGTTGGTGTTGTTGTAGTTGTTGGTGTTGTTGTAGTTGTCGGTGTTGTTGTAGTTGTCGGTGTTGTTGTAGTTGTTGGTGTTGTTGTAGTTGTTGGTATTGTTGTAGTTGTTGGTGTTGTTGTAGTTGTTGGTGTTGTTGTAGCTGTTGGTGTTGTAGTCGGTGTTGTTGTAGTTGTTGGTGTCGTAGTAGTTGGCATTGGAATAGTTGTTGTAGTTGTTGGCATTGGTGTGGTTGTTGGAGTTGTTGGCATTGGTGTAGTTGTTGTAGTTGTCGTTGTTGGCATTGATGTTGTTGATGGCGTTGTTGTTCCTGTGCTTGGGTGAGAACTTGAGGAAACTGCAAAAAAAAAGAGAAAAAATCGAGAGTTGAAGAGAACAAAACGATATCGAGACTGAGACGTATGGTTTCATGTCATTCAAGTAGTACGTTCTTCTGTCGATTGCAACATTCTCAGTGCTGCATATAATCTATTTATTTTTGTGTATGCCTAGTTGTAACTATCAGACTAATGCGCTCACTGGTCATCTCAATATTTTTATACGCCTGCGAGTCGTGGACTCTGACAGCAGAATTAGAGAAAAGGATTCAGACAACAGAGATGAGATGTTTCCACAAACTCCTTGACATCTCACACAAAGACCATATTTCAAATGCTGAGGTAAGGAACAGAATCACCAACGCAGTGGTGCAGCATGAAGATCTATTGACCACAGTGAAGAGACAAAAATTAAAATTATGGTAAGGGCACGTCACAAAATCCACAGGACTTGCCAAAACAATCCTACAAGGAACCGTAGGCTACAAAGAAAGAGAAAGAGAGGAAGGCAGAGAAGGAGATGGGAGGACAACATTACAGAGTGGAGAGGAAAGACGATAGGTGGCAATCTGAGCAAAGCAGGGGACATAGAAAAATGGCGAGAGCTGGTTGTCAGATGCAGTGGTGCCCCCACGGTTGCCCCAACCACGGGATAGAAGAAGAAGAAGTTGTAACAACCAACAAATATTTTTGTTTCACGACCGAGACTGCATAGGCTTACAACCAACATTGCACTGCTTGATTCCTCCGAAGCCTAGTTGCGATCTTGGAAGCTGAAAACCGTTTTAGTTATTTATCACCCACACTTCTGAAGTAAGTGTTTGGCATAATCTATTCATTTTTAAAATCATTTTTAGTTCTAACAACAGAAAAATAATTTTGTTTTACGATCTGAGTCTACAATAATAAAATGAAAACAACTTCATAATGACAAGAACCTAGTCGCGATCAACTAAACTGGAAACATTGTGTGTGTGTGTGG